TATGTATTGCATCGTGCATTAGATGAGAAGATTGATGTAAATCTTTATGCAACCCAATAAGCTTAGCTCTACAATTATCAGATAGATAATCAACATGTTACCTCTTGTTTAGTTATTCTATATTTTTTTTTAAAAAAAGGCAGTTTTTTTAGCAACTTAGATTATTTGATTATGTACAGTTAGCCATCCTTTAATCACTAAAAATATTATATTTTTAAAATCAAATAAAAAAGAGATAATGTGTTACTAAAATTGTAGATGTAGATGATTTTGTTTGAGAAAAATTTCTCCTGTTTCAAAGAGTTTGCTATGCTAACTCGCAGCTAGCTTTAGCCTCAACAGCTAATCACTTGTTTAGTTCTGAAATAATAAATATAATTTCTGTATTAATTCGCACCTGTATTGCATGGAAGCCTGTAACTCAAAATTTCAAGAAAATCTATCAGTAACTTGAAATTGTGACTTTTTTTCAGTGTGTTATGGCCCTACCAGGACCTCCCCTTGTGTGGGTGTGGCGTTCTCTCTCAGCCTCCTCCTTCCTTGCTCCACCCCTTTGTCTTTCTCACTCTTCTCTCTCCCCAGGACACAGCTGGTTTTCATTGGCCTAGTTTACCACCTGGGCCCAGTCAGCAATCACCTCTCTGAGGTTATAAAGGAAGAACTGCGTGATGGTGGTGATGTCTCTGGTGTTTCTTCATTGTGTTCTAGGTGTCGAAAGAGGTCCTACTGTGTGATTGTCATGCCTTTGGCGTGGAGTTGTGGGAGCAGTGGGGAGAGTAGCTGCTTCATGTGAGTAGTGTGGACTTGTGGGCCTCAACAGCAGCAGAAGCAGCAGCAGTGGAACTTGCTGCTGCTAGTGACAGGGTGGGCTTGTGGGCCCCCGGAAGTGCCTGTTTGGTTGTTGTGTCCTTTGTTCTTGCGAACTTTCTCTAGTGTTATTGGTAAAACGGCTTTGCCGGCTCTGTCAGTTCAGATTATTTGTAATAAAACTATATTATATACTGAACACCTGTCTGGTTTCCTTTTCATTCCATTCTGGACCCATTTGTTACCGGTCCCCACACTCACGACCCTAGACCTCTTCGTGGGGACGCAACACAGTGTTGGAAACAAAGTGTTGGATGGGGCTCAGTGGTTTTAATATTCGCTAGCTCTGAAGCTAGCGAATAATTTTCGGTCAGCTTAACTAACTTCAGTAACCCTCTAAAACTTAGTTTTACATCTTTATTTTGCTTGTGACCAGCTGGATGTGAGAAGAAAGACAAGTGGCAAAAAGATGTTAACTAGCCAGCTAACTTGGTGCTATCGTCTTGGCTCTATGAATCCTGATTTTCATGCCTCGAGATTTATTACAATATCAGCTGCAAAAGACACTGATCATTATTGGACTTGAAAGAATTTAGACTGCTGCTTTAATGATCAATGGCAACTCTGCTTGTTTTTGGAAGTTGAGGAACATTTCAATACGGAAATGGATAATGATGCTGGACTTAACAACCGGACTGTAATTGCCTTTATTTAACAAAAAAAAGTTGAAATATTTGTGCACATAACTAAATCTTCACGTTAAATTAAAATCATTTAATATAGGTCTTGCAACACTGAGACATTTAAAATTTAACTTTAAAGACAACCATACTCTACATTATCAGTAAAGAATATGAAAATCTAACACTGTGATTATTATTAAAAGCTATTTAGTATTTTAGGAATTTGGCATGACA